ACTGATTTCTAGTCGTGTCCATTTTTGGAAGGCCAAACAAAGTAGTTTCGCTTTCACAACGAAACAGCGTCACACACGAGTGAGCAGAGGCGGGCGGGCTTGAGAACGGTGCGGCCATAACACTCCAAAGAGAAAGGAAAAATTGAAATCGCATCATATGACCCCTTTAAAAACACACAAGCCTTCAGGCTGTATTATTGAGACGCTGTTTCATCACATTCATTGTCTTCTTTTGTTGCTTCAGTCCTTTTCATCCCAATTGAGAAATTAATTGTTATAGATGTTTGGATGTTAAACTAAAAACTCAGTTTAATAGAAAAGGACAATATTATATCATAGAGCTGCACGATTCTGGTTTAATTGAGTATCACGATTTTTTTTTGTCTGAAATAAATATCACGATTCTCCCACTATTCTGAACTAAACAAAATAATGTGACAAAATATTATTGCTGCAGTCTATTTAAAAGTGTTTATCTAATTTGAATGAATTATTAAACATTTTTATATATGTATTTGAAATATAATATATTTAATACACCAATTTTTTTTATATTAAAATTATGAATAAGTGGTTTGAATGAATGATTCAATGACTTATAATTGGAGGTAGTGGATGACAATATCGGCTGATATTTGGCATTTTTTAAATATCTGCATCGGCTGATAAGTTTTCCTGTTTGGCCGATGCGTTCAAGGCGGGACTTTTATTTTGACGGCGCTGACAGCGGCTGCGCCTGAGCACAGTGCTCACATTCTCCCTCTTGTTCGCCGTCATCGTTAACAGTTCTGTCTAATATGGATAGAAGTATGTCTAATAATCAGATAGAACGGTTAACAAAGGAATTAAAATGTATACAAAAAGTATTATAACGATTGCTTTTATATTAGTAATAGAAAGGCAAACATTATAATACCTTCTTGTTTGCCGTCAGCATTCAGCAAATACGCATTTATATCATTTAAACAAATCTTTGAATGACTAATGAACATTTAATTTCACAAAGCTTGCAAACTTAGTCAGATCCAGTTGTGAGATCTTGTGAAGTGTGCATGTGTATCCTGCATGATCGCGTGTTCTCTGTGTGACGGTCGGTCCGTGCAAATTAAATGCGGACAGGAGGAGAGTTCTGCTTGACTGGAGAGGCACGATCGACAAACTAAACTCGTGATTTCAAATTATGCTGCGCTTCATGCATTTTGCCCACTGCCATATTCATGTCTTTTATTAATCGGCATTGGCCGATTGTGCTGCAAATTAGGCCGATTTATAGGCAGACGCATCTGCGGGCAGCTAAGCGTTGTTCATACCCACACTCTGCAGCCACTTCTTGTTCACACACAGCTTCAGCTAATGATGGCACGGCAAAACAGACCGTTTCGAAAGCATAATTGCATTTTACCCTACAAGAATTGATGCCGGAAAGTTATCATATTCATAAGTGTTATTATTATTATTATTATTTCTGCAGTTTAGCGCCATCTGCTGTCAGAGAGTGAAAGTGCGCTTTCATCCAGAGCGTGTCTCGCATGTTCCGCCATGTGCTTTTCGTCCATGCTTGTTTATATCAGTGCGTGAGTCTTTCACGCAGCATACAGCGGTGTTGTGCATTTTGACCAGTTG